ATAGGGGCCTTTGTTCAAGAATTTAAGAAGAGGGCGCGGAAGGTCCATGGGATTTCGGAGGAAGCACAGTGCGCCATCTTCCTGGGGCTACTCACAACATCGGAGGCCGTCGAGTTGACGAGACATGGAGGAGGTAGCACTAAGCTCACCTGGGCCACCATTGATAAAGGGGTGGAAGTTGGGTGCTTGGACCAGGTGGAACAATGTCAGGTACGCCTGCAAAGACAGAAGAGAAAGGAAAGAGATGCGACCGCTTCTGGGACCCCGGGAGTAACAAGGATTGTTAAAGACGTATTGGCACAGCTAGAGTATGCGACAGAGCCGGTGGTGCAAAGGAGGGTGTTGACGGCTGTTAAAGTAAAAGGAAAAGAGCCAGTGATAGAGGAGGCTGGTCAGGAGGAGCTCTGGGAAGAGGAAGAGCCGGTGCCGTAGCACCTGATGAAGGTCCAACGCAAAGTGCGTAATTTGGCGCAGGGCGGACAGGGATCAGGAAAAGCGCAGGCGCCTCAAGCCCAGGCAGCAACCCCTTTAAATGTGGCGGCTCTATCATCTAGTACGGGCCCCTCACAAGGTGGGGCGCCCTCCTATGGACAGTGGCCCTGGCCGGTGATCAACGCAATTGTGTCATGGGGAAGTACGCCGCCAGTAACCGGACCGCAAACGAGTATGCCACCACCCATCTACCCCGCGGCCCAGGCCCAACCTGTGGCCCCGCCACCGTCACCTGATCCCAGTTCACAGGACAGTGTTGTAGGAGGTGGGAACCAGGGGCAGGACAATCAAGGCAGTGGAGGGAGGGGTGGAGGAAAGGGGCGAGGTAGGAATGGCGGCGGAAGAGGAAGGCAATGGAATGGTCAAGGCCAGGGGTACCAAGGCCAAGGGAGTCAAGGCCAGGGGTACCAAGGCCAAGGGAGTCAAGGCCGGGGGTACCAAGGCCAGGGCTATCAAGGTCGGGGGGATCAGGGAAGTCAGGGGTATGGAAGATCCCGCTTTGACTGGAGGACGGCCATCTGTCAACATTGTGACCAGCAGGGCCACACTATAAGGTTCTGTAATATAACACAGGAAGACGAGAGAAGCAGACTGATTTCCTCTACTATGGATGGGAATATCTACGATCAGTTTGGGGAGGTCATTGACAGAAGGCTTGGAGGAGTGAGGGCTGAAGCCCAATGAAGAGCGGCAGCTGGGCCACCACCCCCTGCCATGTTCAGGCTATGGCAGGAAAAGGAGGAACCACCGTTTGGGGTGGAAGAAGTGGGGAGCGATGAGGAAGTAACCATAATCATCGAGTCAGATGATGAGGATGAGGAGGAAAGAACGGAGCCTCTGTCCGTCTTATTTGAGAAGATGGAGGACTTGCTGGATAAGATGGGGAGGTACCAACAGAAGTTGGTAGGCCTCTGTGAAGAAGTGAAGGGATGGAGGTCTAACGTCCCCACAGTATTCCTCTATGACTCCGACCCGGAGTCAGCGCCTGGGCGACCCGGAGTAAATGTGGTGGGGTCGTGCCCTCAACCAGGAATGAGGGGGAGACCCCTCACTCCGCAGGCCCGGCTGGCACAGGCAGCGYGAACGAGGAATCAAGCCAAGGCCAGTACCAGCCAAGAGCCTCCAAGGGGGGAACACGAACCAGGGAAAAGGAAAAAGGCTGTGGAAGTAGAGGACGACGATGATGAAGAGGAAGAGGACGAGAGGCTGCGCAGAGAAGAGGATCAGAGAGCGGAGCAGCGGGCAAGAAAAAAGGGAACCAGGGGAGAGGCCGAACCGGTCATACATGACGGACCGCCCAAAAAGAAGAAATACGCGGTCCGGTTGGAAGAGGGGTTTGACGTAGAGAAGGTGATTGACCGGCTGCTGGAAGGGCATAATGACCTCATGACCCTGAAGGAAATCCTAGCGTCAGCCCCGCGACTCCGCGATGAACTTAAGGGGAGGTTATCACGGCGCCTGGTGCCCAATGTCCATCTGGGTACGATCCTGCCCAAGGAGGCAGAGTGGGCAGAGTCAGGTACGAAGATGGACTGGAAGTGTGTAGCCTGCAGTACGGTGGATTTGATGGTGAAGGGTTCCAAGTGCGCAGCAATGGTGGACATCGGGGCAGAGATGAACATTATTCGGGAGGCGGACGCGATCAGATTCGGGCTGGATATAGACCGTTCTGACTGCGGTATTCTGCATGGAGCCAGAGCTGTAAGGCCATGTTTTGCGGGACAGCCTCGAATGTGCTCGTCGAGGTTGGAAAGGTGAAGGCCATGGCATGCTTCTTCATAATGCCAGATGTGGACCATAGAATCCTCCTTGGGAGGTCATTCCTAAGCAGGACAGAGACCGTGATGTTYAACAAGCATGATGGGACGTTGATCCTCCTCTTATGCGATCCTGCCTGCGGGAATTATGAAATAATTACTTGCAGGAACACCGGGCCAAGGAGTATAAGGAACCGGCCCAATCCAGGATCATTCACAATCGAGGAGTCGGAAGGGGAGCGCAGGAGGCTCTGGGCAGAGCCCAAAGCAGGAGAGAGGGTGAAAGCATTTTCCCTCAGCCTGTCAGATGTTGGGAATGCAGGAAGGTTGGAATTGGTATATCGGTTCCCAGGCAGTGGAGGGAACCCCGCATCAGCGCAAACACAATCCGTGAGTCGGCCTTTTTTAGGGGACGGCTCAAGCAGGTTCCCAAAGGCGGTACAAGACGGTAGACAAGAAGTGTCGCCCAGTACCCGTCCTCGTTACAGAGGACGAGGAAGCATATTACGAGAGGGAACGAGGGTTGATTCGACGAATCAGGGAAAGTGCTTTAGCAGGGCCATGTCGTATCAATGAAGGGAACGAGAAGGAGTTGATCATAGGGGAGTCTGATTTCCTGCTGCCTCGGGAGCGAACATTGATGGTGGAATTAATGAAGAGGAAGCATCGCGCCTACGCGTTTAGTGACGAGGAGCGTGGCAGGCTGGATGTGGACAAGATACCTATGATCCGCATCCAAACCGTGCCACACGAGCCTTGGAACATGAGAGGGGCGCGATATCCCAATCCTGACGAGGAAAGGAAGGTGGTGGATTATCTCGACGGCAAGATACGTACTCACGTCGCCGACTATTCRAGTGGACCGTATGCGTCCCCGTGGTTCTGCTTTATTAAGCCTAACGGGACGCTGCGGTGGGTGCAGGATTTGCAAAGATTGAATGCAGTGACCGTGCGAGATGTTGGAGGACTGCCGAATGCAGACGTGCTGTCGGAATCCTGTGCTGGAAGGCCTATAATTTCGCTTATAGACCCTTACTCAGGATACGATCAGTTCCCAGTCTACCCGCCGGATAGGCCGGTGACGGCTATGCACACGCCGCGAGGATTAGTCCACATGAACGTGGCCCCACAAGGGTGGACCAACGCAGTAGCAATGGTCCAACGGGCCATGATTCGGRCCATGCAGTCAATCAGCCCCCATATCACACAGCCATACATTGACGATTTGACAGTGAAGGGGCCGGCGATGAAAGAGAGCGACGAAGTCTCACCAGGGGTAAGGCGCTTTGTCTGGAAACACATCCAGGACCTCGAAAAGGTCCTGAGCCTGCTCGAAGAGCATAACCTCACGGCAAGCGGGGCTAAATCCAGACACTACATGAGGGAAGCGACGATCTTGGGGATCGTCTGCAATGAGAAGGGCCGAAGGCCGGATGTGAAGAAGACGGACAAGATTACTGAGTGGTCAGTTCCGTTCCACTCAATAACTGATGTTAGAAGCTTCCTTGGTATGTGTGGATTTTGGAGGGCCTTCGTCAAGAACTTTGCCGCTAAGACTGAACACCTGAGGAAGTTAGTCCGTCAGGATCAGGAATGGGTATGGGGTGAGGAACAAGAAGAGGTGGTGG